TTGATGTAGATGTTGAAGACTTTGACTAAGAGAAGGTAGAGGTGGAATCCCTCCAAGGCCATCCAGAAGAAAGTGGCCAATAGAGAGTAGTGAAGGGCAAGAGCCATGTATAAACAGACCCCAGTGGAGGACACTGCTGCCACTGTGGAACTTAGCAGGAAGTGCAGGTTGAGGAGGATCAGGGCAATCACGAGGTTGATGTGGACCCTCATAGAAACATCTTCTCTGACTTTTCTGGAGAAGGAGATGTGATTCATGGTAAGTGACAACTTTCATGTAGATTATTTGGTCAAATTCTGTTTGAAATAAAATTGTCACCATAGCAGGGGGAATTGAGCCTATCCCAGCTACGATAGGGTGAGAGGGAGAGTACACCCTGGACAGGTCAGCAGTCTGTCGCAGAGCTAACACATAGAGACAGGCAGCTATTCGCACTCACATTCACAACTATGGGCGTTGTAGAATGATCAATTAACACAATGCCACTATCTGAATGTCTTTGGACTGTGGGAGGAAGTTGGAGTACCCGGAGAGAACCCACGCAAACATGCGGAGAACTTGCAAACTCCATCCGGAAAGGCCCCTGTCAGGTGGTTTAATTGGACTCAGGACCTTCTTGCTGTGAGGCAACAGTCCTAATCACCGCGCCACTGTGGTGCCAAGAATGTCATCAAGGAGAAAAATAATTACCTATTTGTGATGAAGAGCAAAACAGCGATGACCAAGGTAAAAAGAGAGAGACTGCAGCCAATCAGAGTGATGTATGTTAAAATCTTCTGGTCTTTAGGTGATGGGAAAGCAGGAACCTGTGGAGAAAACCCACGTTCACATTATTTTGCAGCATCCCCATTGTGAGTTGAAATGAAAACCAAAAAGAGACAAAAACAATAAAGAGCTGATGTAGATTGTATGGGGACAAATCAATGAACCAATAAACAGTTGGTGAGAATATTTGCACTAACAGAGCAACAAAGGACAATTTTAGTAAGAGACGACAATTATAAGTCACGTAAACTGGACAAAGGCATCTTTCTATTTTAACATAGAGTAATGTTTTGAGCATGCACTGACAGCAGCATGGAAATCTTGGGCCACCACCTATTTCTTTATATTTAGCTTCTAAGGAGACCGACTTTCTTATATATTTTTAATTAAATTGTATCTTTGTTACTAGCAGCTTGTTGCAAAAGCACATAATTCATTCCTAACTCTTTAGTTAAACCTATGGCAAATGTAACACAGGTTTAAGGGCACTGAATAGTATATTTACACCAACAAACCGATCCCAAGCTATTAGCAAAAAACATGGCATATTTCAGCATGGTGTGGTGCATTCTTAAAAGAGGAAATTGGACTAAAGAAGTGGCAGGCCAGTATCTGAAAATAATGTCCTTAAGAATTAGGACAAAAAAAGAGGAAGGACCTGACACAGGACAGGACAGATGCTTCTTGCCCTTCAGGCGATCCTTCAGTTTACAAAAGTGTCATAAGAAATGTTGTGAGTGGACAGATGTCTGTCTGTCAAGAAGCCCTTCCTGAGAAAAGGCTGGTGTATGTTAAATTACATAAGAACTATACTAAAAATCAGTGTCAACATGGCTTATGGAGTGATGACATTTTTTGGCTCAATTGTTTTTAAAGGCGTTAGCTGAGTGCCTGCAGCTAACTGTACGATACGGTGGGAGCTCTGTCACGTTGACATTTCAGCTACTGGTGTTGTGAATCTTATCAAAGTTGATGTTATTAGGAACACAGTAAAGGTACTGTCAGATTTTGGTCAGTCATGCAATACCATCTGTTGACTGTTTCATATTTCAGCAAGAACTCCAAGATACTATAACTACACCAGAGTACCTGGATAGAAAATAAACACACAACATTATTGAAGCATTATTATGGGATCGTCCTGACAGAGAGTGGAGCAAAAGGAGTCAACATTAAAAAATAAAGTATTGATGCATGCTCAATCATTCAGGAAAGTAAATCCCAAAAGGTTGATTCTGTTCATCTGGATGTAGTGTTTTAGTGGAAGAAAAAAGAAATCTCCCACTAAAAATGCTACGTACAGATGAACAGAATCAACCTTTTGGGATACAAAAAACAGCTTTGAATGTCCTTCAAGAAACTATTCTTTGAAAACTTGAAAACTGCTTAAAGGAATTACTAGAAAGTTTGATGTGAGTTTAGGCTGAAGGCATAGCAAATATTAACCGTCAGACTCTTAAGAATACAAACGCAGTTGTTATATAAAGAAATGGCGGGTGGCTCAAGGCTTTGACACAGAACTGTGTATTATTATTGTCATTATTAGCAGTAGCAGTAGTTATGGTAGTATTTCAGTAGAACTACACTTAAGCTCCACAGTTTTTTGATAAGTTGAATAAAAACTTTAAAGAAGTGGTAATTTCTTTTATGGAATGTTTGCGTTGATATGTTTGTTATATTTGTGACAGTGTCAGTGTAATTCATGATAAGAAATAAATATTCCTTTAGGTTTATTTGTGTTTTACTTCTATTTTTTTTTTTATTATATAAATATGGTTTTTGGAAAACATTTTAGCGTAGATGGGCCAGGAACCATACAGGGCAAGTTTGGTGACCTCGATCTACAACATAAAATGTAAAGAAAAGAGTATGCACATCACTAAATTAAAAATCCCGTAACACTCTTAAAAACACTTGAGGGTTGAAATGTTGACTTTCGAAGTTTTTCAGTAAATGCCCTATAAAGGATTAAAATAATCAAAGTTAGCTTTATTTAGGACCG